GGGTGGGCTAATTCTATTTGGGGGGGGGGGGAGGGGGATGGACCTCGATGATGATGATGACATTGATGATTATGACTCGGGGGGGGACGGTTGAATGGAAGATGCGGACTTGGGGTTCTTACAGTTTGTCCCGTGTGCGTGCCGTCATGATTATGTATGTATGCTGGCTATAATGGAGAGATAGCGAGATAGATGGAGAGAGAGAAGATGAGGTTCCAGTCACGGCAATGCATGCATCTGACCAAGGTCGCTGCTTGCTTAACCGACACGGCGCTGGCGTCCGAGTGTGTGTGTGTGTGCCTCGATGCCACGAGCGATCCGATTCCACGGCGATATCATACTCAATCAATCAAAAAAACGCGCGCGCAAGGCACACACATTTACCGAGAGAGAGAGAGACTTTGGAGGAGGGGGGGGGAGGTTCGCCGCGCCATGCAGCTAAAGCCAGCAACGCCCGGCACCGTGGGCCGGAATGCCGCTTGACATCCCGCCTGCCGGGCCGCAACCACGCTCACGACGACATTGTTCCACCACTGATTGGACACGTCCTGTCCGCGCCTCGTTGCCAAACGCCCTCGATGCCCTCGTCGCCGCCCATCTGCTGCTGACCGACTTGCCTAATATGCCTTGCAGACAAAGGCCCCCCCCCCGGCTCCCCTGTCCGATCAGTGCCCCCTCCCCCCCTCCAAGCCGCATTTCCTCCTTCTTCCTGACTTGGCTCTTCGGAAGCGCAGGACCGCACTCGTTAGCAGCAGCAATCGGGGAATGAGACCAGCTAGACATACAGACATACATACACGAATCAGACGCTAATGTCGTTTGGAGGCGCGGCATTGCTACTGGTGGTGGATCCCCTCCCCCTGGTCAGCCCAGACTAATCTTCCTAAGTATGCCCAGGATCCACTTTCCGACAAGTGTGTTGGTCACCTGTTGTTACACTGCTTTGTAACACCGCACACGCATACGTACGTCTGTATCTAAAGCACCGGTATTATATGCTTGAATCGAGAGAAAGAGAGAGAGAGAGATGTGCATTTGCGGGCTGTGGTGGGGGGGGCCGGTCACTCATATGAGCACAACAGCAACAACAACAACAACCAGCATGAGGACAGGCACAAGACAAGCAAGGGGAAAACAGGAAATCAATCGTTGGAACAGTATATTGGTTCATCGACGAGGGAGAGGCGGGGAGCCCATCTGCTAAACTATAGTACGTGCTACAAAATAAGTCAGAATTAGCCTCGGGTTTCCCGCCGATACTTACTTACATGTAACATCCCTCCCCCCCCCCACCCCACCCGGAATTTACAAGCACGCACAGGG